AGTCTTAGGTTTGCCGTCTTTCTAGCCAATTCAACTCACATCAGGATAATGTTACTACCATGCGAAGCTTGAGTTAGTGACTCGCGACACTTTATTACTAACCCTTGTGTGACACGTGGTCTATTCAAGGTTAGTAGTGCGTGTCTGCTATTTGTGCAGATTATTATAGTTTTTCCGGCTATACCTCTTTAGGTTATCTCTTTTGTGGTTGTGGAGATACCAGCCACTTTTGTCTGACCTACGCTGGCATTTTTTGTCCACACTCCATTTCATCCTTAGGTTTAGTGATCTGGAGTATATCTCGCATCCTAAGACTTTTTTCATTTTGTAGTCATCGGTGTATATGCAAGGGGCATTTGCCATTTTGGACTTCATATACTATCTTGTTTCTATTTTGTAGTTTGTCAAAGAAAACTTTGGTTTAATTAAGTCACAGGCTGCCCGTAGCAGGTATAGCAGGTATAGCTAGTTCTCAATTGTTCCATTCCTATATTAAAGTTTGCACCAGTTGAGCGAAGTCGCATCATTGTCAGCAGCGCCACATCTTTGACATATATGTCTAGAGGAGTGATACCAATGACCAACTCCATTGCAGCAGTTAATATTATTTTCATGACAACTGTTATGTTTATGAAAGTCATTCGTTGAATATGGTTTAGTTTCTTAATCGCTATTGCCTGTAGCACTTTTGGTACCCAAGCAATGGCTCTCTATGTTAGCATTGACCTAACGATATCAGTGTAGATCAATACGATTACGCTGAGCGAAAAGCCACAGGTGCACCCAACCGTTTTTCGATACTGCCTATACTCCTTCTGTGGACACCCCCACGTAAAAATGTCTCTAATAGAAACGACTTCTACATTTATGCTTATTGCTCCTTTACAGAGCATACTAACATTGAGCTGTTGAGGTGATAACATTGAGGTGATGGTTGGGAATGTGGTTTTATCAAACGCTCCTCAATGTCTATAACTATACCTAGGACGGATTCTTTATTATCCAGCGATTTTTTAATTTTTGTCTCTACTTCATACAGTGCAGATTCGGTAGATCTTCTCGAAGTATATGTAGGCTGATTTGGGTGAAGTGGGGTATAAACCAGAACTTCAATATTTATGTACGTCTCGCATAGCTTTTCCATTGTTCCTGGTAAGAGCAAACCATTAAAACCTCCGGTAGATGCCTAACTAATAGTCTCGACCTAAAAAGTCAGCCAGCTCTGCCAAGGAATCATACCTCCTACATCCATGAAGACATATGTCGCATAATCCCCTGACAATATATGGAGGATTATGGCAGTATGTCATATAGCAGAAGGAGGAGGGTGAAAGGCGGATTTCTGCGACTTAAAACCGAAACACACCAGCGAACCTTTATGAACCCGTACTGAGGGAGGTTGGTATGGTACGAATCACAATCTCTAACATAAAAGACACACTTAAATCTTTGGAATCCAAACCAGTACCCAAATTAAACATATATATATATATATATATATATATATATATATATATATATATATATATATATATATAATATATATATCGGTTTTAAAACGTTCTCCTACGTCTTCCGATGCCTAGTCGCCATTCACTTCGGTCCATCCAAAGGTCTTCATCTAATTCTCTTTCTCTCATACTTCGATTTATGCCTTCTCTCCAACTAAGGCGGGGTCTTCCTCTTTTTCGTCTACCATGAGGGGTCCACGTTAGGATTTGTTTCGGGAGTCGTTCTTCGGACATTCTTTGTACGTGTCCATACCATCTCCATATGGACCCAAATTAAACAACAATACCTAATATACCGACACATAACTGCCGCTCGCTATCAAATTAATCCAGACTTGTAGAACTGGAAAAATAAACTTCTGAAAAACAGGCTTTAAAGCCTACATACAAGAAGGAAAAAGACACTGAAAATATAAAACGACAACGATGTCTTAAGACTTTTGTAATTATAAAACCATTTCAGGGATAGACATTTTAATATTAGATGAATTGACGCTTATTTGATTGTTCATTAATCTGTTTATAAAATATTTAAATTTTTGATTTGCATCGGAAATAGTGAATAGTAAAAGTTTTTACTGCGTTACTTTATTATTCAAAATGAAATATTGACCTTAAGTCTCAAGATCTGTATACTGAAAATTAAAATAACTAATTATTTCCCAACTTTGTTTTCATATTAACTAGCCATTACATATAAATATAATTTAATTCGGTTTGTGACTAAGATAACAGCTGACCCAATATTTTTCAAAAAAATATCCGTTTTCACTGTCATTAGGATAAGACTTGGAATTTGTTAAACTTGTTTATTTTTTATATTTTTTTAACGTGCTTCAACGCATAAATAGTATAGTCAATATTATATTAAAAAACAAAAGATAAAAGAAAATATGTTTAAGGATATAATAAAGAAACTAAAAAGGCAATGCGACATTTATCTATTAATAGTTTTTAGTATAATACAAGGTACATTCTTTTCATGGTTTATCCCTTGATCGTTATATGGAAATATTTTCGTAATGACGTTTCATCCACAAGTGCGACAGAAATTATCAAAGGTCATGCAACAATAGTTGTAAAATTTTATCACTCACTGATGACTCTTTGCAGTTCCAAGCTGTTACGAACTCACAAGTTATTCTGCGATATCAGTAACCTTTGTTCTTTCATGTTGGTATATCTTTATTCTTCAAGATAAAGCTTAACTTGCCGAAAGCTATCCAAGACAATTAAATTCGTCTTTTTATTTCGGCTATTTGGTTTTCTTTGTCGATTTTAATGGTATGTCCAAGATATACAGGGTGAGTGGGGAGGAACGCACCAAATTTTAAGACTGTATAATATACGTAAAAATAAGTAAAAATAACTCATATGTTGTTATTCGATTTTCATTTGTTTTCGAGTTATAGCGATAATAACACAAAGTTGTAATTTTACTGCTACTTATCACATTGCTGTAACAGGTATCTGTGATTCGTTTAATAATTAGTTAACTGTCATAATAGTGTAGTGTCAACGTGATTTAATGTCTATTTGACAGTTTGTATAAAAAAAGTTGTTGAAAAATGCCACATACTTATTCAAATAGTGATTTTGCAAATATGGTGTTTGTTTATGGCTTTTGTAATGGAAACGGTAGAGATGCTGTTGAAGAATATCGTCAACGGTTTCCAAATCGGAGAACTCCAGATAAAAATGTATTTATTAGTGTTTTCAACAAACTATGCGAGACCGGAACGCTTCCTAGTTATAAAATAATATCGGAACGTGCTCCCCGACAAAGTTTACAAGAAATACAAAATATTCTGGATTCAGTAGAAGATGATCCAGGGATCAGCTCACAAAGAATCGGTACTCATTTAGCCAATCCTCAAACGAGAGTAATTAACACACTTCACGAGCAAGGTTTATATCCATACCACCTACAACGTGTACAGCACCTACAACCAGAAGATTATGCCAGCCGTATGCAATTTTGTCGATGGATAAATAATAATCGTCTTGTTATATCCCGCATACTTTTTACCGATGAAGCAACATTCACCAGAGACGGTATTAATAATAGCCGCAACTCACATGTATGAACTCACCGGTTGATATAAATCAAGTTTTTGGGTTATGCGGTGGGTTATAATTCTTGTTAGCAATTTGTATAAGTGTGACAACAAACTTATAGTTCTGTTGTTTTTAATATTAGTAGTGTCTCTTTTCTTGTGTAAAAGTATTATTTAGGTGTTTTTCCACAGACTGGCTATTCTTTTTTCTGTTGGACACTTATTCAACAAAACTTCCGCAACCTCTACAACGATGTTGCCGCCAATTTTTAACATTTCAGAATATGATCCTCACCAGGAGCTTTTTAATTTTTCATTTGCTGTAAGGTTAGTTTTCGAAGAAGTTATTTTAGGCATAGTTTCCGAGTCGACGTTTAGAATCCTTCTATGGTCCGTTCTGGGATTCTGTATAGTAGATACAGATTCTCATAGAGCGTTTGTATTTTCTTGATTATTTGAGTTTCTTCAGTCACCGTAATCCCGTGTTGGTTTTTGATTTAAGTTATCTTTGATTTTCTTTTGGTTAAATTTGATTTCAATACTCTCATGTTTCTATTGTTTTCGATGGTTTGCAATGTTTCTTTTGTTTGATAGGCTCGCAAGTCTGACCTTATGCTCTTTTTTACTTTATTGTTAATAGCCTTATCCTCTGGTGATTCTTTTGATGTTCTTCTTCTTTCTTTCATTAAATCCAGTATTGTTTGTTTCAATTTTGTTTTTCTGGGATTTTTATTTTTATCACAGATCTTTTTTGCAGTTGATGTTACGTCATTCGTGAATTTTTGTGTTATTTCATTATATCTTTCATATTCTGTATATCTTTCGTGTTGAATACTGATAGAGGTTCTAGTCTCTTTTTTAGTTTACTTTGATATTCCTCTTACTTTATTTCTAATGCTTCTGTGTTTGGTAATTTATTCTGTGTTAATAATTTTCTTCTATCAAATTTCGTAGTAGTTCTATTCGAATCCTAATTAATTGATGATCACTACCAGTGTTGACAGAATTTAATACAATAACATCTTTAGCAATGGTTTTGAAGTAAGAAATTTTTTACTTGATCGTCTGGACTGTGCCACGTTCATTTTCTCTGCATATTTTTCCTGTAGAATGTGTTTACATAGAACATATTTCCTCTGTAATTTTTACTTCAGAGTCAAAAATTTCCAATATATTCTTTGCCGTTGTTATTTTCGTTCTTCCCTATTTTATTGATTCATTTTCATTGATAGAACTTTCTTCAAGACTTTAAAGAGTTCCTACCCGCTACCTCCGAGATCCTTAACCATCGAGCATTAAATCATTTCACACTGAACTGAAATCTCGTTCGGCCATCAGATCAACTTGGCTATCTGACCAAATTATTCATCTAATAATCATGTATGTAACAATATTTCTAGACGATCTATTCATTTTAATACTCGACATAAACATGACATTTGTGGGTAAGTCTCAAAAATCATCAGAAATAATACAGTAAAGGAAAAACCGAGAGTGAACAAACTTTTTTAACCTGCTGAATACTAGTAATATCTGTTATATTGAGCATGTATTTTTATAGGGTCTATACCTTTTGGACTTAAAATTTGATGCACCATGTTCATGCACTTATATCCTGAAGAAACTGTAAACCAAGTTTCAAGACTGTTTCATTTCTACCTGAAGTTATTTAGAACTTTATCTCAAATTTAACATGATATCTCTTAAAGACTCCTTCATTTTTCCTTCAGCAGTTATCGCACAAAGAGAAAAATAATGACACAATTTCAAGAAGAACCCGTTGAGTCTTCATAATATGGACAAACTTGAATGATTAAGAACGCTATTAATAGTTATTGGTTCAACCTACTTAAATCTGTAAATATTGTTACAATATTTCAACGGAGTTATATAAATCTTCCTAATTTATATTTACGTTATATAACTTCTACCAATAATTGTTAAAACAACCTGTAATACCATGAATAGCATGTTTCTTTATGGAATTATAATAACAGCGTTCTAAAGAGTGCATTATATAATCCGTGAATTCATCATTTCCTAATTACCTAGTGTTAATATATGCATATTATTATAGCCGAAAATATGTAAAGAAGCTTGTAGGTCAAACATTTTGTTTATCATAAGTATTTGATAGATTGTATGTGTTTAAAAATAAAAAAATCACATTTTTGTGAGGCATGATTAAGAGATACAGGTAAAAATTAAATAAATAACAATACAATAAAATTATGCCCCCCAGTATAAACCATTTAACTTATCTATATTAACAATTAATACTAGTTTTTTGGTTTAGGTTTTGTTTTATTCAAGGAAATAAATAATTAAAATAAAATATCAACAAATTGTTTAGTCCATGTTTTAATTTTATCGCAATAAACTAGGGCCCAAGTAATTTAGTTAGTAGTAAAAATATGTCTTGTCTTAACATAAATCAAGATATAACCACCAGAACTGTATGGGTACTTCAAAATGGTGCCTTATAAGCCGTAGTTGCTAATATGTTCAATGCTCGCAGTGTCATTTTTGTAGACTTGCGTCTAGAATTCTGAACATCATGTTGATGATACTAAAATGTTGCTAAACGATAACAAACAAGCCATCCAAGAACTACCATGACTTAAGATGACCGTTACTAACCAGGCCATTTTATTAAGAATGCAAAAAGGAAAAGAGTTGTTAACCACAATAAAAACAGCCAAAATTGAATACCTCTGTCACATCTTGAGGAACAGCGAAAGATATGTTTTTCTGTAATTAATTATACAAGAAAAAGTAGAAGGAAAACAAGGACCAGGAAGACGAAGGATTTCCTGGCTGAAAAATCTACGTACATGGTTCAACACAACAACCGCAAATCGTTCAAGAGCCGCAGTTTGCAAAAGACAGACTGTCATGATGGTCGACAACATCCGAAACGGATAGGTACTACAATAAGAAGAGATGGCTTATATATTACATATACTAAGTGCATGAATGGAGCCTTTTTTACTGCACTCATACTTTTACAGCGCCTTCAAGATGCCACTGGTACTTTTGTTTCCACTCAAACCATTAGAAGACGTTTAAAAACATTTGGTTTGGTATCTAGGTCCTTTGAGACATATACCATTGATATTACGATATATGCGTCAAAAATTTGATTGGGCTAAAGCACATTTAAATTGAAGGGATAAATGGCATTTAGTATTGTTTCAGATTTGGCCGATTTTCAGATAGCCGTCGAGTACATGGACAAGAGCGAGGGTACCAAGAAATCAAAGACAGAGATAGATGTTTTTTCCCTCTGGAGATAGATGGTTTTTTCATCTGGAGTGGTGTTATGGTTTGGTCTGAAATTATTTTCGGCCGAAGAACAGATCTCTACTTTTGTCAGGGCACTACAAATGGTGAGATGTACAGACAGGATAATATTAAGCATATTATTGTTAATATTTATATTTATGCAGTCATTTTGTACCAGATTTTATTTCTCGCCGATAATGCTCGACCACACAGATCTGTAGTTGATGAAGAAAGTAGACATTAACATGGAATTCCTCATTTGACATTACCCTCTTGCTCTCCAGACCTCAATATGATTAAACTTGCTTGCGGTGTGTTACAGAAAGTAGCTACAAACTTACAGATTACGTACTCCCTCTGTAAGAGTCCACTTGGAAACACGGGGTGTTATAGTTACAAAATAAAACCGAGTGCCGAATATTGCGCCAAAACCGTTTAAAATGAAAATGTTCTCGGGAAGTTCTCGACGTTTCGACACCTATTTTTGACAAGAAATTCTCTGCATTTTAAAAAGTCCTGTAAAAACTTAGCGAAATCATGTTATATTTCCAAACTGGACTGACTGGATATCTAAGAATATTACTATTGTACATTCATTATTACTAAATAATTGTTGGATTTCAGATGTCAGAGATAAACATTTTAAACATTCTTTATCCCTTCTAAAACCTACCTGCAATGGTCTGAGGATTTCCATATTTTCTATAATCCATTCCAACCTATTTTAAGCAGTATTTAGCCAAGTGGCTTAGCAGATTATTTTTTGAATTGATTATGTATTTGTATTCTTTAAATGTAAAAGGGAAAATTGTATTGCTAAATTGTATACTTTGTTGATGTAAATGGATATTGGGGGGAGCCAAGGAATTCAGTATTTCTTGTATTATATTAGGATCGGAAAGGAAGTTAATTAGGCTATTACCATATCCATTCTATTTTTTTCTAATTAATCCCCTCTTCTTAGAGTGCCGTCTCCCTACGGAGGTTGGCAATCATAATGGCTATTTTTATTTTAGAACTTGCTGCTCTAAACAAATCAATCGATCTGCATTGGTACTAATCACGTAGATTCTTTAACCATGAGTTCTGCCTTCGGCCAACAGATCTTCTTCCTTGAATCTTTCCCTGTATTATCAGTCTCAAAATTTCATATTTTGGTCCCCTCATCACGTGGCCTAGGTATTCCAGTTTTCTGGTTTGTATAGTGGTGATTAGTTCTGTTTCTTTACCAACCCTCTCCAGTTCTTCTTTATTTGTAATTCTATCAGTCCATGATATTTTCAATACTCTGCGGTATAACCAGAGTATAATATAATAACCAGGTATAATTAATCCCATATTGTACTAATTGGCCAATTTCTATTAAGGCCTACAAATTTCCTAAAATTTATGTTTTGTTGCCTTTATTATCTCTTTAATGACTTCAGCGCAAGATTTGTCCCACCACGATATTATCTTTCTAGCCAACCATTTGATGCTTTAAAGTGACTTTAATCATGTTTATGCTGAAATTTGAATAATCATTTCTCAGTATTTTATTATTACTGTAATATATGATTATAAACTCAAGGTGTTGGATGATCGCCACACACCACAGGCTCTTTCCAGACCAAACACATATATTGGATTGGTTCGTCCGCTTGTCGATGGTGGTGCTACGAATGACTTTAACTACAATAATAATTAAAAAAATCCACAAGGAAAATAATTTCTGCAGCTGGCTGTATACCACGTATCACAAAAAAGAGGTTATATAAATTATATACTACACTACAAATTACACTTTCACTATGGTCGTATGGAGTGGGGTCTACACTATGGAGTGTAGACCCCACTCCATACGACCAAGAGTAATATAGGCTGCCTAATGTATAGGTCATTCTCTTAAACATTACCTTTAACAACATCGGTAATGTTACATCTTTAATATCCAAAATTAAATAATTAAAATTTTTTAAATCCCAACACCTGGATTGCTGTTATCATTTTTAACATCCTCAAAGTTTTTGAATCTTTTGGCTGTAGTAATACTATGTACAATGAATATTGTTTCATGGTACATTGACATTTTGTTTTCGACACCGTTCATAGGTATCTTGTCAATCAGTAACCAGCTAAAGTCCGTTTGAAGAGGTTTACTCTCCGGACACTGGAACTCACTTAAAGCATGGGTGCATGTTACCTAAAGTAAAATTTAATTAAATATTTAACATTAAATATTAACGTACAATCTTTGTTAACCTTATATATTTTAAAGGGTTTTTACCCTCATATTTTGGTGGCTCAGACATGTTAACCTGTAAGTATAACCATTTTTCTTTTTTAAAGTTAGTCAAAAATTTAAACCACGTTTGCTTTAATTAAATGGTTTATACTTATTTTAGACATTTTTAACCTGATGATGGAAGTATTATTCCGAAAACGTTCGTGTTATTTGATGTAGCACTTTTAAGGGTTTTTTTAAATATACCCATTTACAAAGATTTAACCTCTGCAACAATAATTACTTTATTTTGAAACTCATTTTTTTTTCAATTGTTTTCTTTATAAAAAATCATTGATTAATTTTTTTTTAAATCTCTAGGAACTAATAAAAAATTTAATACTGTAAAAAGATTTTTAATTAGCCCTAACAGGTTTATTGTGTGTTTATGTACAAATAATTTGCTTAATTGCAACTTTTAGCTATTGGCTAGGATAATGTTAGCTATTATTTAAGTGATAGGTTAATTATTGTTTTGATAGTTTTTGCTAGTGTTTTCAATTGAAATTTGTAGCATCATTAAAAACGCGTGGGATCATACAGAGTGATTTAAGTAATTAATCCAAATTTAAACGAAATCAAACGGAGAATCATTGGTTTAAAATAAGAAGACTACTCAAAAAAATTTTATAACAACCTAAACGAGCACTACTGTAACAAAATAAGAAACTATGAATAAATGAAATGAAGCAATGTAATAAAAGTGGGCAAATTGTAACAAAATAGGAATATAGAAATATAATAAAATTAAAGGTTAGCCAGAACGATATGCCTTAGAAAATGACCATTTGACACCCAAGGAAGGATTCGGTCAATTTTCATGCCCCTCAGAGATAGTTAACTGAGAATAAATATGGGAAGTAGATAAAAATGGATAAATTCATTAAAATTGCTCTA